CAAGGCAGAAGGAGTCACTTGTTACATCCCAGGAAGAGCCTTCCACTGGGAAGATGTGTGCTTTGGACTGCCAATGAGAAGTACTAACACGTTCAAAAACCGTATTTACATGTTAGATACCACCAGCTCCAACATTCATTGACAGCTCAGACACCATCAATGGTCGCTGTTCCTGAAAACTCCTAGCAGGTTCTCCTCACCTTTTCTCAGCACGGCTGTCTCATGGCACCACACGGGCTGCCACTCGCAGACAGCCACTTGCAGAGGCAGCAAGAAAGGGCACACTATCGTCTTTACTTTAGGTTCCTTTTGAAGAGTGAGACAAACTCACATTTGTCGACTTTTTGTCACTTCCACGGTGGGGCAGCATGTGACAGGCAACAGTCATATAGGAAGTCTGAGAAAGGAGAGGAGGGCAGCTTGCTCTTTATATCGCAACTGCCTTTCACCAACTGACTGGAGTCTGCTGAGAACAGTTAACCCCTTTGCAGGTGATGCCATCAGTGACCCAGGAACTTCTCATAGTCTGTTATGATTCTGTTTTTTAAATTATGGATGTATGTGTGTGTACAGCACCTTCGGAGGCCAGACCTGGGTGTTGGTCCCTGGAACTGGAGTCATAGGCAGCTGGGTCTGCCTCTCTAAGGCCTCACCTTCAGCATAGAGAGGACCAAAGGCCAGTCCAGTGACAGCCACACCCCTACAAGCATCCAGCTAGCTCCTCTGTCCCCTTGACAAGAGTTGTGTCACTGCACACCCACATGGCTCATTATGAGTCAAAAGGAAGGAGAATGTTGGGACTAGTTTAGCCTGGGATTCAAAGTAGGAGTTATTCACTGCACTGATCAAAGGGATATGGGAACCGTGAGCCCACCGTCCCCTCACCAAGTTGCTTGTCCTTGGGACTCAGTCCACCAAGGGCTCCTTCTTTACCTACTCTGAACATCTGAGAAGAACTGTGTGAGTGGAATCCAGATGTGTCGGTTGCATGGCAACCTCTGCAGCCCTGGCAGGACACCCCTGCAGCCCTGGTGGGACACCCCTGCAGCCCTGGCGGGACACTCCAGGCCTAGGGAACAGCTCCAGATGTTTCTGAGTGTCTTACCATCATGTAATGAGGACATACCATGCAATCCCTCTCACAATTAAAGAATACAACCTTTGTAGCCACCATTATGAAAACAGCCAGGGTGGTCTGGGAGGAAGAGGCCTTGAAAAGGTATTATCTCGGGACAGCAGAATCCCAAGGTGTCTCTCCAGAACCCCTGCTAAATTGATCGTGCTGATCCCGTGCATGGAAAGCGGCCTGAAGTGGCCGTGGTGGCACCTTCGTTTCATCCTTGCACTGTGAAGGCTCAGGTGGGAGGCCAGCCTGGTCTACATCCTGAGACCCTGTCTCAAAAAAGAAAACTCTCAAGCTGGGTGTAGAGGTGCACTCTGGTGGCACCGGCGTCAGGTGAGTGCAGAAAGACCGGGAGTTGGAAGTCATCCACAGCTACAAAGGGAATGCAGACCAGTCTGAGCTGCATAAGACTATCTCAGAAACAGAAAGAAAATTACAAAGTCTAAGCTCCACAGTGTGGTGTACACTCAGGAGGCAGAGGCTGGTAGATCTCTGAGTTTAAGGCTAGCCTGGGCTACACAGAAATCCTATGTCAGAAAAAAATATTTTTTTCAAAATCCAAAATAAATAAAAATGTGCCTCTCCACCACAATTTCGTGGCTTTTGTTTGTTTGGTCTTCTGGGACATTATCTATCGCTACATATGTAGCCCTGGATGTCCTGAAACCAACAATGTAGACCAGGCTGGCCTTGAAAGTGCTAAGATCAAAGAAGTGTGCTATTCATGCCCAGCCCAATTTTACATTCTTAAAAGTGTTAACATGGGTTTGTTTCATTCCTCCATCTGCCTAGTGGGACGTGAGCACCGCACATGCTTAATCCCAGCACCCTGGAGGCAGAGGCAGCAGACAGATCTCTGTGAATTCCAGGGTAGCCTGGTCTACATAGTGAATTCCAGGACAGCCAGGGTTCTGAAGAGATCCTGCCTCAAAAACAAAAAATCAAAAGACAAAACAACATAAGAAAAAAAAACCTAGAAAATAAATTAAAAATTTTAAATTGACTACGTGGTAGATGAACTGAGTTTACGGAAAGCCATGAGCTCTCCTTGTCAACGGGTGGACCGTTGGGAATGTGGATTCTATCTCCAAAGGACATCAGCATAGAGCAGCTCTACAGCCACTGATTTTTGAGTCATCTACATTTAAGATTAAAAAAAAGATCACGAGCCGGGCAGTGGTGGCGCATGCCTTTAATCCCAGCACTTGGGAGGCAGAGGCAGGCGGATCTCTGAGTTTGAGAGTTCGAAGCTAGCCTGGTCTACAGAGTGAGTTCCAGGACAGCCAGGGCTACACAGAGAAACCCTGTCTTGAAAAACAAAAAAAAAAAAAACAAAGAAAAAAAAGATCACGTGGAGTAGGCCACACATCCAGCTCGAGCTAAAAAACTAAAGCCTCACAACGCCCAGTTTGAGGACAGCCTGGGCTACATAGGGAGAATTTAGTCTTGTACGGAGGGAGGGAGGAAGGAGGAGGAAGGAGAAGGGAATGGAAAGAAACAAGATACCTCACCCTCTATGAAGATCAAAGGTGGCATGTGGAAGAGAGCCTGTGGCCCCCAGGGACACTGAAGCCACCACAGGGACTGAACATGTGAAGTTAGGGTCGCAGCGGTGAGGAATACACTGTGCTCAAGCCAGCAGCCACGCCAAACCTGCACTAGCCTCCAAATCTCCACCTTCTAGACAATTCCTTGCCCATCCGACCCTACCTCTCCTGGGGCTGTCAGGGCTCCATACTGCTCTCTCCCTTACCCCCAAGGCTGACAGGCTGAGGATAGATGGGGGACAGTGGGCAGGAGACAGGAGTAAGACTTGGTTGGAAATTGGTGTCCTGGGGCCCGAGACACCAGGGACAGGGGAATGGGTTACACGGTAGAGAGAGGGCAGCTGTACCTGGGAAAAGACAGGGGAGAAGGAAGCAGCCAGAGGGCCAATCAGAAATGGCAGAGAGATGTGTGGACATTAATTGTAGGCGGGACCCCAGTAGCCAGAGATAGGGAGAGACTGACATGGAAATGAACACAGTCAGACGCTGTCTCAAAAAACAAGAACAAGGGGTTGGAGAGACAGCTTGGTGCTCTTACAGGCTCTTGCAGTACCTGGCACCCACCTCAGGCTTGAGCTACAGGTTCCTTGAGCTTCCAAGGGCCTGAGTACATATGTGGTGTGCCTGTACACACACAAATAAAAATGTAAAAATACAAGAAATAAGAAGGAAAAATGTCTAGAGCCTGAAGAGGAAGCCCACTATACCCTGTAGACCCTCTAAGCCTGGGAACCCCCGAGTTAGCTTTCAGATCGTCACAGGGCACTTCAGGACAGCTCCGTCCATCTCTAGCCTGGACTGGCCACTACCTTTCCGCTGTCTTACTCAGAGCACTGAACCTCTCCAGCTTCCTAAGAGCCAGCCTCTTCCATTCTGAGGCCTTCACATGTTCCCTTTCCTCTTGTAGGATGGTCTCTTCCAGAAAGTTCACTACTGGTGCTCTCTACCCCCTGGAGGCTCAGCTATTTCTCTGACCTCTGTTCCACTCTCCAGGGTTTCTGTCTCTTTCACAAACCCTGATCTGTCAGAGCTCCATGATCCCACATATTATAGTCACAGAAATGTCTGCACTTGGATTGTGATCTGAGCTTCACCAAAGTAGAAACTCTAGGCTCTTGTCTTTCTTTCCCTCTGAGGGCCCACGTTATGCACTGATACATCTGATGGACGCTCCACATATATACCTCCTGTCCCTTTAAAGCTAGTCCCATCTTTCCCAATAACCTGATCTCAACAGAAAAGGAAAATTAGACAAAATTTACTGTTAGGCCCAAAGACACAAGAGATCCCCCATGTCAGGTGGTCTCATGAGTTCAGCTCCAGCTCTCCTCAATCCCCCTGTCTCATTCTTGTTTGTGACAAGCTGGTCTTGAACTTTCTGTATAGTTGAAGTTGATCTTGGGCTTCTGATTCTTCTGCCTCAGCTCTTCATGCCTATTGCCCTAAGTGTTAGGATTATAGGTGTGTGCTACCACTCCGAGCTGTAATTTCACTCTTGAAAGTACTGGGCTACCACACAAGAAGTTCAGTGAGCCTAGCAGAGAGAACATATGGAGAACAAGAAAGTTCCAGACAGGTAGAGGCCAGCTGGGGCCAGCCTTCTCCCATTGCCATCATTATACCAACAGATCTGAATGAGCCATATCGGATATGCTCAGCCATCTGGGCTTAGGGATGAGTACATCTCTACCCATCCCCCAACATCTTGTGGGGCTTCATAACTGCCCTGCAGAGCCCAGTAAACCACAGACACTTAGAGTTATGCTTTGAATATACATTGTGTCACACTGGCTCATGTGGGGAGGTCTGGAGACTTCAGGACTAGTAGGTGGTTGGTGGATAGGTCTTTGGGGTAGTCATCCTAGCTCCTCTCCCTCCTCCCCTACTTCTTGTCCGCCATGAGGTGAAGGATCTCCTCAATGTATTTGGCCACCATGGTGTGCCCCCAAGGCACATGGGGCCAAGCGGGTTCTGAAAACCTGGACAAGTCCCTCTCCCAACCTACTCTCTCTGGAGTATGTTGGTCACAGTTATGTGACAGTAACTGATGCAGCTCTGTTCTGCCTGTTTGTTAATAAGCACAAGCATGGGTGCAGCTGTCCAGTCCCATGAGCCTCAGGCCACAGGAGATCCCATAGTTTCATTCACCAGGCAGACATCCTCCCAGCGGGAGGTGGAGGCGGAGGCTTGCCTGGGAAGCATCCTATCTCCTCTCCCCTTTTACCTATCTCCCCACCTCACGGCTCTTGGAAGCCCTTCAATAAACCATGAGAGCTGGGTATAAATGGCTCACGTCTGTAATGTCAGCACCCAGGAGGATGAGGCAGGAGGATTATCACAAGTTTGAGGCCAGCTTGGCACTACAGAGCAAGACTTGCTCTCAAAAACAAAATAAAACAAAAAACACCCAAGAAAGCTAGGTATAATCACAGCACGGGGGTAGAGGTGGGGTCATAAGTTCAAGGTCACAGGGAGTTTATAGTCACCTCCCACTAGTAGCTTCTGGTCCTCTCACCTAGTGCCTTCCTTGTGCTCTCACCTGGTCCTTTCCTGAACTCATATAGCACAAAGATCCAGATCCCCAGATGACAGGCAGCCATCTAGTTTCTGGAGGAAGGGGCACACACAACCTGCAGGTCTCTGAAGCTTGTTGGCCTGTAGCATATGAACCCCCAACCCCAACTACAGGGCCTGGGAGGGGGGGTCATACAGAGGCTGTGTAGGCAGGTCCAGGCATGTAACATGTCAGCAGCAGTGAGCCAGGAGGGGATGAGGGCATCTCTGAGTCCTCTGTAATTGGAGGGTCTTTGTGGGTGCAGATGACCTCTCCTTAGAAACCCAAGGGTCTGTCACCATGGATCTGGCAGCAGTTCCCAGAGCCGTCTGCCACTAGGGTCAGATAGGTCCGCAGAGAAGATGCTGGGGCCTGGAGGCCCAGAGCCCAGTGGTGGACCCCCACTCAAGGCCTCCAGCCAGTCCAGGGAATCGGTGAGGGCCCTTGGAGAAGGGGACAGGGAGCTTGTGGGGGACGGTAGTGAAGAAGAGAAGACGGAAGAGAAGCCTTCCGAGTCCGGGGAGGGAGACAGCAGGTCAAATGAGCCAGGGAAGTCCAAGGGGATGGGAGGCAGCAGGTCTGCAGGAGGAGTGTGAGCTTTAGGGGGATGGGTTCTGCTCACTGCGCTGTTCCCAACCCACTTCTCCCTTGAACCCAGGAATTCCCAAGTTCAGTTCCTCCCTTAAATGCGGGAGCTAATCTCCTACCATCTGGCTCCACTTGGTCTTCCAGGATGTCATCGATGTCGCGGTTTGGAAGCAGCTGTGGATTGGCACATGCCACATTACCCTAGGTCCTGCTTAGGTCTACCGCCCAGTTCCCGAGCACTCCCCAGCCATGCATCCCTTTCCACCTGCCCCCTTCGTCCTGCTTAGGTCTACCGCCCAGTTCCCGAGCACTCCCCAGCCATGCATTCCTTTCCACCTGCGCCCTTCGGATCGCTTCCTGCAGCTCCTCCTCCAGAGTCAGGCTAGCTGGAGAAGGTGTTGGAAAGGGAGCTGGAGTTGGAACTGGAGCTGGAGTCGGAGCTGGAGTCCGAGCTGGAGCCAAAGCTGGAGCGGGAGCGGGAGCAGAAGCAGGATCTGCCCCCAGGGGATCCGCAGCTCCAGAAAACTTCAGCCTACGATTTGTCGCGCTTGCCTTCACCTAGAACCAGGAAAAGTGCGAGTTCAGTAATCCCGGCTCAGCAGGCGAGGCTTACTGTGTGAGTGTGTGTGTGTGTGTGTGTGTGTGTGTGTGTGTGTGTGTATGAGTGTGTGTACATCACGCGCCCTTCTGGTTCTCAACTACATCCTCAAATCAGCCAATGATTAGCCACACCCCCAAGTTTTAGGGGCCTCTCTTGTCGAGACCCTCCCCTTAAGTGCAAATCACGACTCTTTTCCAACTTTTCATTGACTATTTTTCCAAGGTCTCGCCCTCTTTTCTTTCTCTTCTCTTTTTTGGTCCATGTGTACACAGCCCCATCCTCACCGTGGCGGGCAGCCGGGTAGTTCCCAGCGCCTTGGGTCTGAGGCGCGGCCAGGGAGCAGCGGTCTCTTTGTCCTCGCGCCGAGGCTTCTGCCGTTCTCTGGGAGGAGTGCCACCACGCATGCGCTCCAGGAGCATCGCTTTGGTCCCGGACACCGGGAGTCCCCGCAAGCGCAGCTGCTGCCTAAGTTCTGAGACCTGAATAGGAGCCAGGGAGAGGAGGTGCTGAGCGAGCTCTGGGGAGGGATGACTGGGAAATCAAGAGGAGGAACTACAATCCAGACCGACTTTACTTGAGTTTACGAGGTCCGGGGCCAGCCCCGAAGAAGAGGGCCCAGCCCTGGGACACTGTATACTAAACTCACCGTCAGCTCTTCCAGTTTAAGGGTCTGAAGTTCCAGTTTGTGTGAAGGGGGCGAGGGACTGGAGATTCTTGGTGAGGAAGGCTTCGTCCTTCATCAGACAGGCATGAGGGGGCGGGGTCAAGATAGAACAGAGGGAGAAAGGAATTTAAGGACCTTAAAACGAGCTTTGGAGAGTGCAGGAAAATGAGGAATTCTGGACCTCCGGTGGGGCAAACACCGGGCTGATTTTGTGGATGTGGAAGATATGCAACTGGAGTGTCTCCGCAGACGACTAGGAGCATGCACAACCGGGGGTGGGGGGTGGTTCTGGGGGAAGAGGTGCCAGCCAAGCTCCTCTCCTTTGCACTTTGGGTTTGAGGGAGGAGGACGGGGCCTGAGTTTCTGGCCCCCTGGAGAATAGAAATGAGAGTCCTACCGAGGGTGTGGTCTCTGTGAGTTTTTCTTTTCCCACAGAGGTGGTTCCGGGGGACCCAGGGTTGACCTCTGCACTTGGAGATCTGTCCTGGGCCCTTGTCTCTGTTCTGGAGGCATGTACAGGTGATATGTCAAGTTTCCCCTGACCTTAGGCTCCTTCCAATGTTGGGAGTTCTTGGGAGATTCCTGAAAGAGCAAGTAAGGGCAGGCTTGGTGGTTTGGTGGCTCACCACACCTGTCATCCTAGCTCCAGGGAGCCTGGGGCAGAATGGGGAGTTCAAGGACAGCCTTGGCGTATACAGTGAGTTTGTCTCAAAAAAAAAAAAAAAAAAAAAAAAAAAAGCAAGGGTGATGTTTCAGCGTGGTCACCACCTTCCTGGCCCATGGAATGTATAGTGTCAGCTTGGTGACACCAGAAAGGCAAGCCAAAGGCCAGGAGAACTACATTGTCTCGGGCGCTTGTCTTCCTGTCTAAACTTACCTTCTTTGGAGACCTCCAAGGACAATATGCTGGCTCAGGGGACAAGACGCCAGGGTTGACAAGGAAAGAGGCAGGAACAGGGGGCAAAGCTGGAGCCAGAGCTGGGCCTGAGGCTGAGATCCACGGATCTGAATCCGAGGCTGAAGAAGTAGAAGAGGATCCTGGGTAGGCCAACAGACAGCTGGCTAGCTAGGGTGGAGAGTTGCCAAGGGGGAAAGGACGGCTGGCCTAGAGCAAGAAGCTGTTCTGCTGTTCTGCTGGCCTCCTGGGTACCCAGATTTTTACATTTCCGAGAAAGGAAAAGAGTTTTGTATTTAGTCATCAAAAGGTCTGTTTGTTTAGAATCACAGATATCTAGCATGTTCCTGGGACAAGACCAGGTGATGTCTGTATCCCCCTGACTCCAGGGAAATGGAGAAGTCGAAAAGCTATGTTCAGATATTGAGCGTAGAAGACGCTGAGATACCTGACTCCACCCAGGAAATATTAGTGTTTCGAGTGTGATAGCTGAGCAATAGGAAACAGAGCTCAAGGGCTGGGTGGCACTACTGACTCCCGAGTCCCCTGAAAATGACAGGCTGGGGTTTCACTCTCGTGGGGCAGGCATGCATGCTCCTTGGGGACTGCGGCCATGATCCCTTCCCTTTGGGGGCCCACACTTACTGCAGTCTTGATTCCGTCTGTGGATCCGAAGCTGCAGGACTGAGGAAGGAAAAGGGAGGTGGGACAGGGAAGGCGGGAAGGGAGTGTCCAAAGCCTGACTTGGCTAGTGGGTGGGAGCTGCAGTTGTTGGCGGGACACACGTGCCCAGCCCCTTCACACTCCCCGGCGGGTGGGCAGGCAGCCTGCTCCCTCTCCCTTCCAAGGGCCTCCTGCCTGCTCCTGCCAGCTAAGCATCTTGGGCCAGAGCCACTCCTGAGACTGTAAAGCTAGCCAGCCTGCTGCCAAGAGGGAGCCATACTCCCAGCTCCACCTGCCACTTCAGGAATCTGTGACCACCCTGGTACAGTCGCCATCTTGCCAACCTGACTCATCCACCCCTCACTTCCTTTTCTCCATGCAGCCCTTTCTGTGTTGCCCCGGCACTCCCCACAGCCAGCATCCTGCCAACCAAAACTTGAAGCTCAAGTCTCTCTGGACTCTAGTTTGCACATAAGACTTGATATGACTTCTCACCCCACCTTATCCTTGCTGGCATGCACCACGTGAGTGTCATTCACATTCAAGATTTGATGCTCAATTTGGGGAAAGACTTTCCAGTGCACATTTCTGCTCTTCTCTGAGTGTTCAGAACTCTTTACATTGGCAACAAAGCATGGCTAATGATACTTTCAAGACTTGATAGCTCTTGGTCCCCCTGCCACACACACACACACACACACACACACACACGCAACTCAGGTCCCATTTTGATCTTCTGCTTTGCCTACAGGTCCGTTTAAGTCCTTTGCAACCTAAGCACTCTTGGGTGTCCCCACCTATGGCTCTGCAAGCCATGTGAACATTCACCTACTACTTCACTTCATAGCACACATGACCTTGTGTGTGAACATCACTGATCAATTCACGCATGCCAGAGAATAGTGTTACTGGGACCCTGGGCCCTGGCTCCAGGACCCCTCCCCACATGCATAGAGACAAGTAACCTCTCACCAGAGCGGAACTTGGAACGGATGATTTGGGAGGAGGCTGCCAGAGTCATTGCCAAGGCTGGGGTGGAGACCTGAACAGAGGAAGCCAGAGCCACCAGAGCGCGGGGTCAAAGTGGATGACAGGAGGCTGCCATTGGGGGAAATTCAGGGAGAGCATGAAAGACTGGAGACAAAAGTATTGGGCCAGATCAGATCTTTTAGGGGACAACTCGTCTCTGGGGCTCTGGGTCTGAGAAAGGAGGACTGGTCCTAAACCCCAGGGTGTCAGAGACGCAAGTGTCGAGGCCTGGACCCCTAGGACTGAAGAAAGCCTGGGGCCTGGAGTTCTGGCTTGAGGGAGAAATACTTGAACATGGACTACTGTGTCTGAAAAAGCCTGTGGGCCTGGAGTTCTAAGTCTGAAGCGAAAGGGCTGAGTCTCAGTCCCTGGACCTTGGTAGTACAGGAACGGCCTGAGTCATGGGCTCCTGCATCCTAAGGGGGAGAGCATTGGAATCTGGAGCTGAGTCTTTGAAAATGCAGGAAGCAGTCGTCTGGAGTCTGAACCCTGAAGGAGAAGGAGATTAAGGACTAGAACTGCATGCTGTTAGGGACTAGAATCCAAGATTCTGGGTCAGAAGGGAATCAGGGAATATGACAGGTGTCTGGGAAACACAGGGGTCCCTGAAACAGAATGGGTTGAGTGTCATGCACCGGGCTCTGTGGGAAAGATATTGGGACCAGAAAGAGGAATCAGAGCGGAGAATGAAGGGTAATAAAGAGGATCCCTGTATCTACCCCAGGGGCTTCTCACCAGGTAGGCTCCGCTCAGCTACTCAGCTGTGCCTTGAAGCGGGTGGAGTTTCACGGACTGGGCTGGAGACCTTAGGCTCCACCCCACAAGCCTAGGACCGCCCTCAACTCCCCTTTCTAGGGCGAGTAGGAGCCAAGAGAGCGAGCCTTGGATCAGAAACCCTGCTAGGACCCAGAAAAGGGGCGGGGCACACACGCGGGGAGGAACAGCCAGCCTCACTTCGAGGCTTCCCTTATTATCTCCTCCCCCGCGTCCTGAGCTGTGAGTTGGGTAGAGCGGTCACTGGTGACAGACAGGAGCAGGTGCAGAGAGAGAGACCCGGGTGAGCAACAGCGGCAGGTGGTCGTGTTCAGACCCTGCCAGCAGGTGCCACCTGTTGGTTCTTTTTTCCTGACACAGCAGCAGGAGTCAAGTTCAGAGGAGGGGAAAGTTCAAATATAAAGCCCGGACCCCTAGTTCTAAGAAAAAAGGGGGGGGGGGCAGAAATCAGGACTCTAGGTCTGAAGGAGGAGGATTGAGGCTTAGACCTCTGGTATAGGGGGAGGAGAGCTGAGGTTTGCATTTTTGGATCTGATGGAATAGAACCCGAGGGTTTCTGGGTGTAAGAGGTGTTGGGTGTTGGAATTCAGCGGTGTGCACAGTAGACAGCATCGGAAGGACTGGGGGAGAAGGCTAGAGTTCGGACTTTGTGGGTAGGAGGGAGATGGTGGCGACCTGTTCCCACTGGTAGTACATAGGGTCTGATACTCAGAAGAACAGGGTCCGGGCTGTGTTCCGAGTTGTGTGGCAGTGCTCAGTACTCCAGGGTCACATTTCGTGCTAGAGGGCAAGCTGAGGCCATGGCTAGAAATATCTCCCCAAACTCGGCAGACGCCCAACTTTCCAAGCACACTCCCTAGCACCTTAAAAAACAATCTTTACTAAGATCCCAAGTCTTGACAAGCGAGGTGAATACCACGGATACTTTTATTACGTCTTGGCATTCACATCCCAAGCCCATCTTCCCATTGTCCCATCATCTATCAACCCAACAACTCAAACGCTCAGCGGTCTATGCGGGAAAAACTACAACTCCCAAAATGCTCTACGCCCAGGCGGGCTCCCTTAAGAACCCATGCAGTCTCAAGCTGCGCGCGTTCCTTTGTCATTGGTTTTCAAGGCGTCGCAGCCACCGGGGGTCCATGGCGATGATTGGCTGGCAGCTCCTGCTGTTCAAGATCCCAGAGGAGGCGACGGAGCCTGCGTAGTTCTCGGTGCAATGCGTCATCCGTTACAGGGCCCGTGAGGCGCAGACGTGAGCTGCCCAGGGGCAGGATAAGAGGAGGATGCGAGGAAAAACTTTCAAAGATATCCCCTGTGAGTATGAGGAAAACTGAGTTAAATACTTAGCATGAGTGTGAGGTAGCCTATCGCCTTAAGTAAGAAAAAAAAACTACAAATCCCAGCATGAAACGTGGTTCTCTCTGTTCCAAAGAATGATGGGAATGTTAGTTAAAACTAGGGGGAAAAGACGAAGGAGGTGACACCTAATTCCAGCGCTCTGGAGGTAGAGGCAGGCGGATCTACAGAGTGAGTTACAGGACAGCCAGGGTTACACAGAGAAACACGTCTCGAAAACCCAAAAAGACTAGGAAAAAAAGGACCATTACCAGGAGAATAGGGTCCCAGGTCCCCTGGAACCTTGAGGATGGGCTGGGAAATATTGGGAGAGTTCTGAGGATAGAGAAACCTATTCCTATGTTAATTGGGTTGGGGTTAGAGCTGTGGAGAGAAGGGGCTAGGGGATTAAATCTAAGTAAAAAAAAAAAGCAAAAACAAAAAGCAAATGTTTGAACTCTTCTTAGCTTATTGAAGGGGACCCCAAAGTAAGTTAGCCCTATGACTGTTATAATTGCAGCCAGTCTTTAAACCCTGTGGAGAGAGCATCTGGACCCTGGGAAGTGAGAGGGTCTATATTCCCATCCAGAATTCCGGGTGAAAAAGAGAGGAGGGCTGGGAACAGGGACTCTTAGGTCCCAAGTAAAGAAGACATCTCAATGTTTGTTAACCCATTTTTGCACACCTGTGTCCACAGCATCTCGCTCTGCAGGTGGTGGGTCCCAGGCTGGTGGTGGCCCACGGCCAGGACCCAGCTGGTAGTGGCTGAGGAGATGGTGGAGCTGAGCCGGAGTCAGGGTGGGGTAGTCAGTCCGTAAGCTGCTCCATGAAGCCTAGGGGAAGCCCCAAAGTTAGATGTCTATGGTCACAGCTGAGCCCCGTAGGGCAGGCCAGCCATCCCAGTTTCTTAGGAGGCTGTGTATTCCTCCTTCCAAGAGGATTCAAAGTACAAGGCCAGGTTGGGAACCATGGTGAAACTCTGTCTCAAGATTAAAAAGTAAAAACAGGTCTGGAGATGCAGGTTGGTGGCAGTGTTTGCCTGACATGTGCAACTCCCTGGGTTCAATCCCCAGTACTGTAATAAGATAGAAATCAGTGAAGTTAAGGGTCTGGAGTACAGGCTCTGCAATTAAGAACCATTGCTGCTCTTGCAGAGGACCCAGCTGAGAACTGATTCAGTTCCCAGCACCTACATTGTCTGTAAGTCCAGTTCCAGGAGATCTACCTTCCACTGCTGGCACTTCATGGACATGGCACACATATATATGTGCAAGCAAACACTCATACACATAAAATAAAACTTAAAGAAAAAAGTAAAGCCCCAGTGATTGTGACCACCTTTTATCCCAGCAACTCAGAAGGTGGGATAAGGGAGGTGAACCATTTGTGAGCTCAAGTGAATTCCAGATCAACCAGAGCTACATAGCAGGATCTCAAAAAAAGAAAAAGAAAAGAAAAAAAAGTAAGATTGTGTGATCTAGTTTTCAGTCCACCTTGAATGTGTGTTTGTTGACACAGTTCCACAGTTCCCAGCATCCAGCTTATACTCAAGAAATGCTTAACCATCATTTTCCTCTGTCTCAAACCAGAATTTCTGACTCAACATGTCTAAGAAATGGAACACAGAAAACTATTTCTAGCAAGTTCCACTAGCATTCAGCAGCGTTCAGACACCCATGCTCAGTCATTCTTGACACTGACTTCTGTAGCTGTGAGCAGAAGTCATCTCTCGGGATGGAAATGACTGGGTCACAGACAGGCTGAATACAGAGGGCAGAGCTGAGCTAAAGATTCAACCGTCAAAGACATATAAAGCTGACCAGGAGTCACCTTGAGCAGGGAGGTGCGCGGCACACAGAGCAGGTTCACAGC